ACGGTAGTTTTTCCATTGACAACCTTACAAGATCGATGATACCAACCAAGAATTAATGATCCTTCATTTCCATGATTCTCATCTCATGTGTACTTATAAGAGAGAACTATTTAACATGGTAGAGGGTCATGTGGAATACTCTGCAAGCGAAGAACAAGCTTGCATTCATCGACAATACACCGCCATGACCTAATTTAGAGTCTCCTAAAATCACAACATGGCTTAAGTGCAACTCAATGGTGATTGCTTGGCTCTTCAACTTGATAGCGTGAGAATTGCATAAGAGTGTTGTGCACACTTACACAACTCGCTAAATATGATGCAATTTAGTTAATCGATTATTTCAAGTAACATTCTGAGAATTTATGAGCTCAAACTAGATCTTTCTCTAGATAGACAAGGTAACCAGTTAGTTGTAGCATATTTTACACCAACCTCACAACACATCAATCCTAACCACACATCAGGGATACTCCGATACTTGTATATTAGTATTCATGAGAGATATTCTCAATACATGGTGTGAGGTGTGTTCTATGAGGAGCAAATCCCAATTTGAGCTAGCCACATTATCTTCGATCCCTATCTATAATAATTGTAATGGAAGAAAAGAAATCTTGGCTAAAGAGTATGGGATCAATTTTATCAATTCTTGATGGAATTGAATGATACCTTTAACTCAATCAGATCTAACATTATAGCCGTAAAACAACCAAGAATCCAAGTGATTCCCGGAATCAACCACAATGTGATCACTATCATTGTAATGGCCACACCAAGGAAAAGTGCTAAGTAGTTGAATGCAATGGTCATTGCTGTAAATATCTTGTTTCATCCATGAATTTTGTTGGTATGTCTCCTAACTCATTTTATTTTCCGTCCTTAAAATGGATATTGGATAGTGTGGCGTTAGATTATTACATGACCACCACCTTGGATGTGTTGTCTTAACATCAAACCACTATTGCTAGTGAAAAATTTGTTCAACTACCCAATGGATCCACAATACCTATAAGGCTGTAGCCCATCTTGGTTCGGTTAAGCTATCAGTAGATATTCTACTTGACGGAGTGTTGTGTATCCGAAACTTCCACCGTCATTTGTTGTTTATCATTAAACTCACATCAAAGTTGGGGTGTTCTATGGTTTTTCCTTTTGGTTTTTGTTTGTTACAGGACCTTGTCTCCAAGAGGTTGATTAGTTTGGGTAAACTACATCATGGTGTGTACTATCTTAAATGTCTTTTCCTCAATAAAACCAGCACACTAGCTATTGTCGTGTCTTCTAATTTGGATTACATTCTATGGCATTGTCAAATGGGTCATGCTTCTCCATCCCGCATCACTACCATTTCTAGATCTACACCATCTTACAGTGGCATTTGTTTTGTTGTGAAACATGTCATCGGGCCATACTAACTTGCTTGCCCTTTCCACTAAGCACTTCTTGGGATTCCTCTATGAGTTACTACACATGGACATATGGGGTGGTTATAGAACAACTTCTCATTTTGAAGCTCATTTTTTCCTCAATATTGTTGATGACTACAGTAGATGTACATGGGTATTTGTTGTGGTATAAATCTAAGACATATACTATCTTTACTTTTTTTCATAAGATGATCTCTACTTAGTTTAATACATCTGTTAAACAAATCAAAACAATGGATCCAAATTCTTGTCTAAACCCATGCTAGAATTTTATGCCACATGGCATCATTCATCAGCATAATTGTATTGATACACCTTAGCAAAATGGCATTGTTAAGAGAAAACATCGCCATCTTCTTGAGGTGGTCATGAATTATGCTTCCAAACACATTTACCAATTTGATTTTGGGGTGAATGCATACTTACAACAACCTATCTAATAAATCACACCCCAACTCCAATTTTTTATGGCAAGACCCCCATGGAAATGTTATTTCATAAACCACCCACATATGATTACATGCGAGTTTTGAAGAAAGGGTTAGGATCCATCATATGGATGGCCGAACCATGCTACATGGCTGGGCGAAATTTCAAAAATTTTCTAATCCTTCTGGGAATCAAATTCCCTATGTTTTGAAAAACTACATTTTTAGGATTGGTCTTGCACTGAACCGGATTAGATTTGAAACCAACCAAAGAGGGAGATGTATACCTAATACAGATACCACAAACGCAGATCCCAAAGTGAAAGTTCACACCTAAATCAGTTTTAAAACTAGCCTCCACTGAAGATGATGTAGTGTATTCTTGAAGCCAGTTTAGCAACACATTTTTCACCAAAATTGCAATCCAATTGCTTGGATCGAACTGGGGAAGGTGAGCAAGAAATTCCTCTAGATTTTTCTTGCAAAAATCAGAAGAAAACTGATATCTATTAGTCCCAAAATAGCTATGGTCAAACTAGGGTTTATTGGAAGACAAAAGATAAGAAGAGAGAACAAGAAAGAGTGGTCTCTTAATCTAGTTCACCCTCTTCTTCTTTTATCTCTTTATGGAGCACTTCTCCTAATCAAATTAGGAGATTATCCAAATCTAATTTGGATCTAGACTCTATTAAGAGATAAGCCTTATCTTCTTAAGAGGATGGGTGCTCCATACCCATTTCCGAACTCATATTCGATCAAGAGCACATGATATCTTACGTTGTTATGTGACAACTTAATCTTATTAATTTTGGGCTTTAGGCCCATTTGCTTCAAAGGCTCATGACCCAAGCTGTTGCATGGCCAACTTAGGCATGATTTGTATGGCGTGGGACCCCATAATGACCTTACATAAGTCCACAGGGGTTCAACCCAGCCTCTATGAAAAGGCTTGGCCGAATTCACTATTAAACGCAATGAACCCCTGAGCACATAACTATAGGCTCAATATGAGCCCAACATTTACACTTAAATGAACCCTTAATGGCCTCTTACACTTAACCTCTCAGCCCATAATGATCAAACACTACCTGATAGGGAATGACCTCTCCTCTTGCTACAAGGTACAGTGTCGCACTCTCCACTGGATGTGCTTTGGCTCTAATCCTAGTAGTTGAGACAAACTGTCCCAACTTCTTTGGTAGCATATCAATGTTAGCCTTGACAGGATAAACTCCCCAAGTCTATCCAACGGCTGAGAATATTCTAAACTAACACAAGTTTTGTAAGTGTCTAGTTTAAGGGATAATTCATAAAAAAATACCAATATCAACATGAAACAATAATGTACTTTTATTCATTTACAATAAATGTATATGCACATCAATCTGATTGGATCTAAGGGCATACACTGTCTAACATGTTTTTGGTCACCCACATATTCCATAAACCACCCAAAGGCCATAAGCAAGTAAAGGATCTTGACTATGATGATACTTATGCACCGGTTGCCAAACTCATAACAATTAGGTGCCTTCTTGTGGTTGTTATTGCTAAAGGATGGTCCTTACACCATCTTGACATAAACAATGCCTTTCTTAATGGGGATATTCATGAGGAAGTCTACATGAAAATTCCTCAAGGTTTTTACAAGCACTCACCAAACGTGGTGTGTCAACCGCACAAATATCTTTATGGCCTTATGTAGGCCTCAAGGATGTGGTTCAAGAAATTTGTTATCGCATTCAAACAAAATGATTTTGTTCAATCAATAGCAGCCTAATCTTTGTTCCATTATCAATAATCAAATTCATAAACCATAGTGCTTGTTTATGTTGATGACCTTATAATCACTAGAAACAATCTCTCTTACATTCAAGCTTCGAAAAAGTACTTACGTTCCTACTCTCTTACATAATTTTTGGGGTTTGAAGTTATCATTCCTTATCTGGAATTTTCTTATGTCAACACAAGTACCTTGTTCTTGTTGATCTCTTACAAGACACTAGCATGGCTGAATGTAGACCAAGATCTACACCTATGGAGTAATGGCGACAAATCTATGATTCCTATAGTATATTAAGCTTGTGAGCCGACTTGTGTATCTCATTGTTACAAGCCTTGACCAACACTTATGGAACTCCACTCAAGAGCATGTGGATGCTGCCTTACAGGTTTGACGATACCTCAATATAGGGGTGGATTCAACCCGAGCCAAGCTGAATACTTGGCTATTCAAGCTCGACTCACTGAAATTGTGTTAGGCTTGAGCTCGAACTTGGCTTGATTTAAAGCTTACAAGTTCGAGCTCGACTCTACTCGAGCTCAACTACAAGCCAAGTTTTTTTTATAAAAAATAAAAAATATACATATAAAAAGTTAAGAATTATGTATGTTTATTATTATAAAAATAAAAATATTATTATATATAATAAAAATTATTTGTATATTTGTATGTATGTATGTATGTATGTAATAAAAATATACTCGACTAGCAAAGGAGCCTAAGTATCAGGCTCGAGCTAGATTTAAACCAAGTTCAACCGAACTCGAATAGCTCATGAGAAACTCAGTTTGTGGCCAGCCCTACCTCAAAACATCTCATGGCATCTTCCTCTCTTCTACAACAGACCTAGTTCTCAAGGCCTTGTGATTCAAATTGTGCTACTTGTCCTCTAACCAGGTGTTCTACAACAGGTTATGTCACCATGTAGGTGATTCCCTACGAGCTATGACAATTGCAACTGCAGAATTACTGTGGTTGAAATGAGCCCCATCTCATTTCACCATCTTTATCACTACTCAAAAGAACCTTTATTCTATCACAAATGTGCCAAGCACATCAAGATAGATTGGCATTTTATCTGCGAGCACATTGCCAAGAAAGAAGTTGCTACTCATCATCTTCCAAGCAAAGAACCTGCTGATCTTCTCACAAAAGCATTAGGTGTTGATTAGTTCTCTTTAACTCACAAGTTGGGCATCTGACTTCCACATGCTCCAACTTGAAGGGGGCTAATGAACAACAGAGTCGGTTGTTGTAATCTGTTATTTAACCACGTGGGTTAATATTCGCATTCTCTCTATAAATATGTATAGAAAAGCTCATAAAGAATCACTAGTTCTTCGATTGCCTCTTCCGAAGTTTGTTAGGGAGAAAACCATTTTACCATTTGGTTCAGGATTCTCTTGCACCAAATACTGTAATAGATATAAACTGGGCTGAAATGCAAGCTTTTCTGTGACCAAACAAAAAAAAAAAGAAAGAATGAAAGATACAACAACAACCTAATCAGACAGCACCATAATCAACTGTTCAGTAAACTTTCCACCCAGGTTCCCTCAACCTTTTTCTACAACACAACTAAAATACATGATATGGGCCTCGCCACATTGAGAACTCCGGTGTAATCTCGACTTCAGCAAGTCACATCACATGTTTCAGGAACCTTCAGTTACAGATATGAAGAAATATCTGTTTGATTTTCTAAATCCCAAATCACCACTTTGCCATCCAATCCTGTGAAATGAGATCATACTTAGGTAAACCTTACATGACAGTTATCTGTATTAGATATGACTAACCAGAAGGTACGAGGTGACATAGAAAATCTTAAAACTAACCTGAAGTACTGAATCGCTTCACTATAGCATCCCCTGCCTTCTTTAGTGGTAAGATACAACTAGAATTCCAAGAACAACACAACATGTAATTGTCTCAATAGAATGTACACATGATAGCATAGCAGAGATGAACTTAAAACATTACAGAGTAGACTGTACTTTATGCAGTTCTCATGAACACCTCCACGAGGTCTTGAAGGTTCAATTGCATCATTCCAAAATCCTTGTTTCGTTTGGCCATACAGTTTTCCAAATGCTTCAGAAAACTGCCAAACAAATAAAAAACCAAAAAGAAATTAAGGGTAATATGAAATTTAGTGATTCAAGATATGACCAGAATGGCAGAACCATTTTGGGTCCAAAATGGTCCAAAATGGCAGAACCATTTATGAAGCAAGTTTCAGACCAAGAGTCCATGTGGTTTGTCTAATATAAAATCTTTTTTCCCTTAAAACTCTTTGAATTAAAAAAAAGAAGAGTTTGACAGCCAATGTCCCTCAGTGGATGCTCCAATAAAAGGTGGAATCGGTATTTCAAAAAAGCATATTTACACTCGCAGGTTAGGCTCATTTTGTTGGGTATGCCTCACTTGAACCTAGGTGTACCTCAGCTAACTAGCTCTTTGCTATTATTTGATGAATTAACCTTGAAGTTGATGTTTGAATAGGTAATTTACCATATTGTAGATGGTCATTATGATTTTTTTAGAGTTTAAATGTTTAGTCTATGCAGGACTTGAACCTACAAGGCCACGATTTGTCAACCATCGTGTTTATATATTATATTCTTTTTTCTTTTAACTTTTTTCCATAGCTGCCTCCTCACTTCATTCAGGCAAGCATCTCATCCTTGCACCTCATGCCCCATGCTCTAGAAACCCATGTGCTTTAGATGCATTTCTTGGTTTTAAAGCACTAGGTGAAATATAAGGACAGTCACGTAGTGGAAAAGTGAAAACATAGCCAAACAGTATAGTCCCCCGTCCATGGAGCAGAATAAGCCCAAGTGATCTGATTGACTACCTTCTCTGGTACACACGCATAACATACACATCAAGATCAACTTTGATATGGGAATGAAATTATAATTGACCAAGACTTGAGGTTTACATCTTTAGTATGCTTCTTACTTTTTGGTAAAAGTTTAGTATGCTTAGTTGTTTACTTCATGTAACTTTTTGTCCAAAGGTAAACTTTGTCATGTAATTAGATTGGATTAGCAAGTGCAAGTATTCTTTCTTTAAGCACTCTAAAGAATCAGACTCCTTGGTCTCATATTCAGTATTTTGGAGGTCAAATTTAACTATTCATTGATTACTCTGCGGCATGCTGAGACAACAAATATTGAAAAAAACATAGGATTTATACAGACCTACTAATTTTGCTGAAGATATATATTGTCCAAATAGCTAACCATTTTACCAACTCACTAGAGAAAATTTTCATATCTACAGAAAGAATTGTAGAAAGAAATGACCTACATACCTGTGAACCATATTTTGAGGTTGATGATGATATTTTCCTCTCATCAAGAAATCTGACAAAGCTCCTATGACAATACAAAAAAATATAACTACAGTAACCATAGTTTCAAGGTGTTGAGGCAAGGCTAGGTAATAGGGGGGGCACATTGTCACCTAGTTGCTTAGGCAGGCTCTCTAGGTGTCGCCTAGGTGATGGGATTTTTCTGAATAAAAACAATGAATCCTAGGGTAATTCCCCAGGTTCCAATAGCAAGCAGCAACCATCTTTCGCTATTAAGGCTGTGCTTGGAAATGATGCAAATAAGTGTGAATGCAATTATGTAGAGTGTAAAACGGTCCATATAAATTGCAAAGTTGGGTTAGTTTTGCATTGACAAATTTACCTTCTTACCAAACAGACTTTTAGCTGTAATGGATTCAAACATGAATTCCAATAAAGCATATGCCTTTTTTTATCAAAAGCCCACTTGAATGCAAATTTACTTCTTTTTTATTGATGTACTTTTACATCTTATTATCAATGTAAATATGCACTGGAAAATGTGTTTTCTGCCATTTGTCAATGCATAAATGTAATGTTGCCAAACACAGGCAAAAATGAACCAGAGTGCAAATTTACCCTGAACCGGGATTTACACTCCATTTGCATCGTTTCCAAAAGCAGCCTAATTGTCCATAATCTTTGTAAAAAATGTATGAACTTCATCACGTGTCAAAAAAATGTATAAACTTCATTTAATGCATAGAAAATCAACATATTCATGAAAAGTAAATGTAATCTCTTTGAGGTGTGCAAGAAAGCATAAAAAGTCTCTTCTGGTGGCTGATGAATCCAAGTGCTATCAAAGGTGAAAGCATTAAATCCCTCCTGTTCTAAACCTAGTGAATCACTCTCATTGTGATGATTCTTGCATTTCTTTCTTCCTGCACCTTCCTAGGATAGCAGTTCTTAGGCATCTCCATGGAGTCTTCCACCTTAATCTTAGTGGGGAGAAAAAACGGATGCAATATGCTATCCTTAGACACAGGGAGTTCGATTGGTACCAAATAATGAGAAGTGTTCCCAAATACAAGTGATATATCAGCAGATCAACAAATGGAATGTGGTTTCATAGTTAGCATCACAAAGAACAAATCTACTGGAAGAGATTTTTTCTTTTAAGGTACCTCGTAAGTACTGATTTTCAAATATAATACCTCTCAACAAAAAGTCCTTGTAGGAGATGATTCCAAATTTAACAAAATGTTTCCATTATTTAACAAGGAATATCAGATTTTGTATGAAGATTATACATCTCAATTGGGGGGGGGGGGGGAGGGGAGCAGCAGAGATGCAAGTAAGAAGATGCTAATCTGATGAAACCGTAACATACCATATGCCAGTTTCATCTGCTGCGAAAACCATGGGATTACAGTCAAACCCAACACCTATCACCACTCTCTCAGAAACAAATAAGACCTGGGACAAAAAAGCCCATCCAAATGGTAAGACAAACACAAACAGTGAAACAATTTGAACAAAAAGAAGAATTGAAAGATAAATAGATGTAATGTTAACAAGAGAGGATGCTGACCCACATCACGGAGAGGCAAATCACGTATTGCTACATTTTGGGCAAGAGGAGAAGGACCAACATCATCAACAAAGTATATCATAGAATTGTGACCTGAGAAGAAAACAAATTGCAACCTGATCAAAAAACTGATTAAGATGGCTTTCATACTAAAATACCAGAGGTTCATAATCAACTTAAATATCTATAGGTCATCTATGCATGGTAAGCTTGCAAATTGCAATATGCAGGCAACGCTGCAATGAACATGACAAGGTTCAAGTAGAGAATTACACACATGGTAGTTGTCTTGCAACCTGCAACTAAAAAGAAGCATGTGTACCACATAATCTTAGGCGAGCCCAAGAAGAATTTCAAAGAGCAATAAAGGTATTCTTTGCACACCTGTTGAAAGCACTTTTTGCAATTGGTAACTGATGCAAATCAGTGCAGGAAATGCAGTTCTACCATGAGGTTTTTTCATCATAAAAGAAATACAGGAGGGAAAATTTTGGTCCTACATAACCAAAGGCATTGCCACTTGGGGACCACTTCTTTCATGATAATGAAATATAGGAGAAAATTTTCTGACCTACATAAGCTAAGGTATTGCCACTTGGGGACCACTTTACACCAAATGCCCAGCTAAATGAGAGATCAAGTTGAACGATTTGCTGCATCAACAGAAATAGAGAAGAAAAACATAAAGGAAAAAACAAATGCATAAGCACATCTAATCTTATGATTCCAAATGATGATAGTCATTAAACACCCAACATTCACATGAGCCATGTTAAATATGAAAAGAACATATAAAATAAACCCCAATAAATTATATCCTACAGCAAAATAACTCTTCATAAAAAAGCATCTGTTCATAACAAAGGGTAAAATACAAAAGGTACAACTTAAATCTAGGACAAATTCTCTAATCAACAAAAGTTATTTTTCCCAATTGACACATGTTTCAGGAGTTACTCAATTAGGCTTCATCACAGATTATTCTGAAGGAATTTGAATTGATCCAATAGTCAGAGGATGGAGACCACCTTTTTTTTATTTCTTTTGAAGGATGGATGGAGACCACTTCTAATTCCATTATTCACAGAGCTTGAAGCTTAGGATTGGTTCCTCATGAAACTGTTAGTTCAGCTTTGATGGGAACTCTCCTGGAAATCCAGGTCTTCAGGGGTTGGATCCTTGGAGGCTCTTACAAAGATTCATGTAGACAATAAATCATGGTATATTGTGGTTCCATTGGCCATGTGACTGATTCAGGCTGGAATTTCCCCCCTCTGCAAGGCCCCTTTGACTGTTATACATGTTGGACTTCTCTGCTTAATGAGATTGAGGAAGACTCCCAGGATGCAGGTAATAGGCTGGATGCATGATACTTTGTATAGCAGTGTAACTAAAGCAACCAGGTGGAACCTGGGTGTTTTGAACTGGCAAGGCATGATTTGGTGTCTCATTTTTTTCATGCTTATGGCCGATCCCGTGCTGCTCAGCTTATGCCTTAAGTAAAAAATTTCGTTCTGCTATTGACCAAGAGAAAATAGTGAAAACTCTAAGTGACCCTCGCATAAAGGGTAGTATTCAATCAATGGGGATGGTGTCCAATGGGATTTATACTAATACAAGGGCATTAACTGGGTTCAAAATCCAATGACTAAAACGTATCCCAATGAGGGGGCCCTCATGGAAAATTCTTTTGAAAATTCTGCATGTAAGTAACCTCTGACCCTACAGGATACAGAATAAAAGAATACTTGAATAGACATATCCCAATGTTAATAAACAAGACATCCACCTAAATAATAAGCATGAATGTCAATTTACAAATTATAATGCAGAAATCATCTTCTTGTCAACATATTGAACTAAGCACATGCCAATGTGCATAAACAAGACATCCAAATAAATAATACCAAGCTTGAATTTCAATGTACAAATTGTAATACAGATATCATCTTCTTGTCAACATACTCAATTACGTCAGAAAAATATTAATATGAAGAGAGAAGAATAATAGAAATTGGACCTCCCCAAATTTTGAATCAGAAGAAACACTTGTTCCTGAACCCCTGGGCATCAGCCAGACACATAATATGGATAAGTTAGTACAAAATATCTCAACAGATTGATAAGTGCATAAAAGACAAACTGATATGCTCCTTCAATTTATTTAAACATACCTTGGGTCAACACCTTTGATGAAAGTGGAGAAAACTCGGCATTTTCCATCAGTAGATGTTGTTGCAAGAAGGATCTGCAGTTGATATTAGAGGATGAAAACCCAAAGCATAATACATGGTTTCCTTGACACCTAAACTAAGATTTGGAAGTGATAATCATGATGTACTACTTCTTGACAAAAGGAAATACAATTGAATCACTATCCATGGATCATAAAAGCAGCCCTTGATGGACAATATATTGGTTTTGCAAATTCAATTTTAAGTTACAATCCTTTGGAGAAGATTTCCCTTTTGTATGTTTGAGTGAAATGATTTAAAAGGTGTGCCTAGGCGCATAGGCAAGGCACATTTTAAGGTTTGCACCTTGCCTAGGCGGTTGGTGTAACACTTTCGAAAGGCACGCACCTAGTGAGCCTTGCACTTCAGCCCAGACATGCACCTTCTCAAGATTTGTGCATTTTGCTAATGTTGTTCATTCATCTTTTTGATACAAGACAATTTTAAAAGCCAAAAGAATTATAATTAAAATTACAGAACTTATCTTTTACGTACAAAATAATAATTAAAATTACAGAACTTCTCATGGGGCTTGGTACAAAGACGGCTTTTAGAATTTTTTTATCAGAAACAGCAAGTTTCATTAACTTATAAAAGATTAATACAAAGGCAACTTATAAAATTAGGAATGCAAAATGTTTAACATCACATTAAATATTTGAAGTAATGCAATTGGGAAAAAATAAAGAGCTTGAATGTTCCACATGCTTGAATATGTTTTATATGTTATGTTTGGTTTATTTTTACATTGTCATTTTGAATATGTTTTACATGTTATGTTTATGTACTTCAATTTTCTTTTGATTGAATAATCGAAAGTAACAGATTATACATTGAAGTTTCCCAAATAGACGTGTTAGATGCAGCCTCAATTACAAATAAGATTTACAATTGAGCCCAGGAAAGATGATCTTTATGCACCCCTTGTTTAGCTAAATAGTCTGCCAGCCCAGTAGCCGACCTCTTTTCCCACTGAATTCTTAGTTATATTTATAGTCCTCCATTTAAATCTTTTCACTGCCTCTCTACAAAACAGACTATGGTATCCAGTCCCTTCAACTATCAGCCTAGAATCCCCTTCAATTAGCAATCTTTCAAAATACAGCTCCCTTGCAAGCTGCGCTCCCAGCAGTACTGCTTGAAATTAAGCATGAATGGAATCCCCCACTCCTGCAGGGCCTGAACAAATGGCCAATATGTGGCCTTCGACAAGAACCCCCCCCCCCTTTCAACTAGTGATATGCATCCTCGTTTTTCTTAATATAAAAGATTTTTTATTAAAAATAAAGAAAAATGAGATTTTTCTTCCTCTTCTTCCTTCTCATCACCCCTCAGCATAAAGCCTCCTTGCGTTCGGGAGGCTTACGCGGTTACGCCTCTTACATTCTGAACTACGCCTCATGCCTCTAGGTAGTGGAATGCCTTGCATCACGCCTCTGTGTTTTAAAACATTGCTTTTGAGGCACTAAGCAATTAGGTGACTAAGCACTAAGCGCTCCATTGTCGCCTAGGTTCGCCTTGGTGCCTTGAAAACTATGTACCTTAAAGAGGAACCTACACTAGGAGTTTAAGATTAACGACCCTAGGGAGATGAAATATTTTTTTGGGCATTGAGGTGGCAAGGTGCAGAGGATCTTCATTTCACAGAAGAAGTATGTTTTGGACCTATTACGAGAAACAAGGAAACTTGGGGCAAGGCCAGCTGATACACCTATTGTTCAGAACCACAAGATGAATGCTTCAGATGGTGAGCCAGTTAAAGATGTTGGAAGGCATCAGAGGTTGGTGGGTCGGTTGTTATACTTATGCATGACACAACCAGATATCTCTTACGCAGTTAGTGCGGTAAGTTACTTACTTATTTGAAGGGACACCCAGGTAGAGGCATATTGTTTGTTGACCATGGGCATTTGAAGTTAGAAGCTTACGTAGATGCTAATTTGGAAGGGTGCCTAGATGACAGGAGATCCACATCAGGAGTTTGCACCCTTGTTGGAGGTAATCTGGTTTCATGGAAGATTAAGAAACAATCAGTTGTAGCAACGTCAAGTGCATAAACTAAATACTGAGCTATGGTACATGGTGTTTCAGAGCTCCTCTAGGTCTAGTCCATGTTAGGAGAGATTGGAATTGAGGCAAAAGAACCTATGATGCTATGCTGTGATAATCAAGCAAAAATTAACATTGCCCATAACCCAATTCAGCATGATAGGGCAAAGCATATAGAAGTGGATAGACATTTTATATAAGGGAAAAGGTGACATCCGGAGAGGTGTGCCTACCATATGTTGCATTTACTTACAGCTAACTGATGTTCTCACAAAAGGTATTGCAAGAAACAAGCTTGAGCATGACCTACGCAACTTAGGAATGTGTGACATCTGTTTCCAACTTTCAAAGCTCCTCTAGGTCTGGTCCATGTTAGGAGAGATTGGAATTGAGGCAAAAGAACCTATGATGCTATGTTGTGATAATCGAGCAAAAATTAACATTGCCCATAACCCAATTCAGCATGATAGGGCAAAGCATATAGAAGTGGATAGACATTTTATATAAGGGAGAGGGTGACATCCGGAGAGGTGTGCCTACCATATGTTGCATTTACTTACAACTAGCTGATGTTCTCACAAAAGGTATTGCAAGAAACAAGCTTGAGCATGATCTACACAATTTAGGAATGCGTGACATCTGTTTCCAACTTTAGGGGGAGTGTTGAGATTGGGCTGATAACATTTGTTTTTTGTTTATAAAGTTTAGTTAGAGTTATTGGGCCCAAGGGCCATTAGTTTATGTTTTGTTAAGAGTGTTTTCTTATGTTCTTTAGTAGTATCTGAGTTACTAAGGGTATACTTGTCATTGTATTCAGATTTTTTTATGTGTATATAAGACAGTGAAAAGGGCAGCCAGATCTTGTTTTTGGCTTTCTCCATTGCTTTTCAATTTCTCTTCTCTTCTCTGCAGAATCTTCTTTTCTTTCTTTTCTATCCCAGGTTTCATATCAGGTTGGAGTTATGCACTTTCTACTGGGGTTTCAGTATAGTGGAGAAGCAACATGAGCTGGCTCCAATAGAAATACCTGAATGTATTATAGAAAATATACATAAATTATACAGTATAACTATACTGTATATTTCTGCTAGTACCAACACTAGTTAATAACTATCAAAAGAAAAACTCTATTAACTTCACCTTCACTAAGTTTTTTTTAGTCACTTTGACCATAAAAAGTAGGATTCTTCTTTTGGAAAACTAAGAACTAAAATCCAATAGAATTATCTGTTCCCACTTACAAGATAAAGAAATAATGTGCAAGGACATCTAAATATTTCGTGACCTTCAAAAATCAAAACTATTATTTTCAAGGATGAATGCTCAAGTTAAAATCTTTATTTATAACATAATAACATGCTTATATGACCACCGGAAGAAAAATAAGAGTATATTTGTAAACTAAGAAAGAATAGAGGAGGGAGTATGAACATTATTAGGATGCCAGGCAACACCCGTCACAGAAGAATTATGCTTTTTCCTGATAAGTTTACTGACCCACCTGGAGTAGAGCAAGCATAAAAGAATTGTTAAAATTAGAAACTGCAACCAAAATAATTTGTTAAACTCAGAAACAGATATTAGAATCACAAAGATCAGTATTCACATTATTTAATCATTTACACCATATCCATACAATAATACAGGCTTTACTTTCATTGATGAACAATACACCATATGACCATATCACAAGTTTAGTAAACACAATTAAAGGTGTTAAAGGAAAAGTCATTGAAAGCAATATGCACAGCCCACATTACACACAATCACAGATCCTCAATGTTTTCAAACTAACAACCAGAAATATTTTTATGTTCTTTAAATTAAAGAATTTTATAGTGAACCATTAAATAAAAGGGAATGTTCTTTAACCAAAAGAACTTAATCAATCAAGAAATCTGGCTAACATTAGATACGTACAAGTTTGTACAGACAATACAACAGGAAAAGTCATAACACTTGTTTTTTTTTTTTTTTTGCTAAAAAAGTCAAACTGTTTAACAACTTATACCTAGAAAGCAAGGTATATGCCAGAGAGAAAACATCATTTTTTGTGCACTTTGAAAAAGAAAAAATGATTAGTTCATTTTACCTTCTTCTAATTTCATATTGCTGAATCTATGTTCAACAACACTGTCATACAGAAAGTGGTGTTTTCATCTTTTCGTTCTTTATTCTTCCTCCAAAATTTCTTTTTACTTAGCTCTAAATTCTCATAGTCCAATGTGCATAAATTGGCCCAACAGCGCTAACCAATCCAAACATAATTTTATGTGCATCTTTACAAGAGGTTTATAGCACTTAGCCACCTATATGTCATAGGAACTGCCCTATAAGATACATGAGCCAGTTTATCTCATGCCACAGGTACTTTTGGAGGAAAAACACTTGAAGCAGACCAACCCCACCTAAGTGACTTAACTCAAGTTCTATTAGGGTTTAAAAATTTTTTGATCAATAATTAGGGTTTAAAAATTTTTAGTTGGGGTTGAGTTAAGGTCAGAAAGATTGTGCTTTTCCTTGGGTTATGCTGGGCCTTGGCCTTAGGGGTCAACCCTTAGGCTTAGTTGTTCCTAGGCCAGACCTGATCCATCAAGAAAGCAAGTTCACAGAAATGTAAATTTGAGATTTAATAATATATTACAATAGATGATTGCTTACTTATATCGCATGATTGCAAGTATAATCCAACTCTTGTAAAGGCTCCTGTCAAAAGATAAATCTAGCAAAGGCAACTAAAAGTAACTACACAAGCCCCATGGTAGGAAAACAAACATTGAGAAATGAAATTATTTTTCAGTAAAAGCAAATAAAATCCTGCATCCAACAAATTAAACCCCAACAACTATTCTTGCCCCAGCTGCTGATGTGGACCAATTTGAGTTTCTCGTGACCTGTAGATTTGTACTTTAATCCTCAAAGTTGTTGATTCTTCCATATCAATAAGATACCAAATAGAAGTTTACTGATAACCATAAATACTTTACTAATGATTCAATAATATTACATTATTACTATTATTATTATTATTATTATTATTATTATTATTATTATTATTATTTATGTGAAAAATTAAAAGATAAAGATCATTTACCAAAAAACAAGTTAAAGATAAAGATAATAATTTCATAGAAATTAATGGCATCTTTAGTAAAACACCAGAATCAAGAAACAGAATAATGACATAATTTACAAGGGAAGAAGGAAAGGAAAAACACTATGTACCAATTATTCTCCTGCTCGTAGTAGCAAATACAAACAGTTTTAGCCCCACTTCCAACAGCAAACTTGTTTTCTGGAAAAAAAATATATATTTAACTCATAAGAACCACAATTGTACAAAACATTAACTGGTAAAAAAATGGCCTTAATGAGCAAATTTTCTAACACGGAACTATCAAATGCGATTCTGATGGAAGAATTCTGCTCCAATAATTGAATCCTTTTTTTTTTCTTTTTGATGGATAACATGAAACTTTTATTGAATTATGAGAAATAATAGGGACAAATGTACAAAGAGAAATGTTCCAAAAGCACCCCAGAACTACTATGAGGGCACTAGACCCCCTCCCCCATGCCAATCTTTTACTTGAGATGCAGCGTTATGTTATCTTATACACCATTTGTAGGCCCCCACAATAGATGCTCTCTGCTAGCCCCTTGTCATGCTAAAGCATCCAGCATTCTATTAGCTGTTCTATGAACCCAACTAAATGTGGCTCTTCAGTTCCCTTGCTAAGCTGGTCACTTCTATAATGGTGTGCCTATCGCACCAATGACCTTTTCTTTCATACTTCAGCCATTCAATGACAGTTAATGAGTCACCTACAGGTTGTGATAGATTAGAGCCTTCCTAACCTTCAGACCCGGCACTAGTGCCAACAAGTCTACCTTGATTTACTATGTCCCATAGGACCTGAAAAGATTGCCAAAATTGTGCCTTCCTTATTTCTGGGCAAAGTCCCTATCTCCACCAAACAAGGGTTGCCCAGGATGCACTCATCAAAAGTATTTGGTGGCGGGGGAGACTGTGTGCAACTGTTAGAGATTTTGGCATGGATTAGTTAGCAATCTGCTGCCAGCTTCTAATTATATAATCAACATTATAAGGTTCAAAGAGAGCTTTAGTCTTAACCCAAAAGGCTACCTTAGCTGCTATGTTTTCAATCAAAGCTTCAACTGTATGGCTTTCTCATTCAAAGTTCTGGCATTCTCAAATCGCCCAAAGAATGGCAGCTCTAGTACATCTCCATAGCATCTTTCTCCTATTCTTTGGGGGAAAAAGTTGTTATCAAAGAAACTAACCAAATAAGTAGAAGGGGACCACATGCATCCAAAAAGAATAAAAAAAATGCTCCCAAATTCCAGAAGCAAAAGGGCAGAAGATTAAAAAGTAAAGAGAAGATTCATTGCTTGACCAAGGCAACAAACATGGGGTGACAAGCACCAATTAGGACTCCTTTTCTGCAGATCCTCAGTAGTGTTGATCTTGTGATGAAAGACCTCCCAGCAAAAAGCTCTAGCTTTCAGTGGAGTGGGGCCTAGCCAAATAGCTTTAACCAGGAAGTCTATATTAGGACTTAGGCTTAGGAGAAGCAAAAGTTGGAAGAAAGAGGCACAAGAGAAGATGCCAGGAGAGTGAATCCAAACAAACACCCTTTAGTGATTGGATTAGGTCCATTGCCTCAGAGGTTTCACATTCCCTAAGACCCCTCCTCAATCCCAGGTCCCAAAGAGGTTTGGACAATGAGCCTGCCAGACAACAAAAAATAGATTTGTATTTTGTTTAAGGAAATAACAGAAAATGTGTGGGAAAACAGCTTTTTTTATAGTCATTGGAAAGTGAACCAGCTGGGAATTGAACTCGGGTATGTACCATGGCAGGGTACTATTCTACCACTAGATCACTGGTGTAGGACAAGGGATTTGATTAAAAATAGACAAGGCAAACAAATCTCCTATAAACTGAGGTGGGAAAAAGGAAAAAAAAAAAAACAAAGAATTACAAATGCAAATATGGCTCCTGTGTCAATAATTTAAGGTCAATACAGTTCACATCTCACTCCTCTTCAAAGGCTGTCAACTAAGGATTAGAAATTTTCTACACCCAGCTAGATGAGACGATTAGCCTTGATGCCAGTTACCTCAATGTGTATCTAACAAGTCCCCTACTCAAAAATCACCCCTCCAGGTCCATGTATGCATGTATGTGTGTGTATATAACTCATTTTAGATTCACTCTATTATAAAATCTATAACAGAAAAGGCAAAAGATACTGATACCCCCATCCCCAAGTTTGAAACCTATTAGAGCCACAAGTTTTTTTGTACCCTTAATTGTTTCCAAAGAGGCAAAAACTCATACCATAAGAAGAGTTTACTGCCTACAAAACACACTAACATGAGGTTCCTACATATTAGAAAACCACCACAGCACCATCTTCTGCTAAAGAGACAAATCCTCCTGATGGAACTGCCACAATCATTTCCACTGATGGCCTTACATCAAATCCATCTTTTTAAAAGACCACAACTCAAAAGCTTTGTCCCAACATATCCACTTCCATTTAACGAGAAATTCTTATTTTCAAAACCTGCTTACTAAAGAAATCCATTTGAATCTTCTAACTTCTTAGAAGTCTAGGCCATCATTCACTTTTCTCAAAAGCAATGTTCAGAGAACCGGGTTGGACATTGACCCAGAAAGGGAGGAGGTTCAGACGTCAGAGGTTCAACCTTGGTTAAACCATGATGATGTATATATATATATATAAAGAGAGAGAGAGAGGGAATAGCTCTCCATGATTTCTGGAGTATTTATTGAACGAAATGCCCTGTTTTTGAATTTAGTCCATCTCTACTTTGAGGGTAGAAACTGTAATTTGAATACAACTTAAATAGGTCAATCGATTATAACATAATTAAATACTAAAAATTTAAAAATATATAAAAATACAAAAAAATAGACACATATCTAATATATATTAGTCATATTAAACAAAAATAAGTGTAATAAATAATAATTATTTTTATTAATAATGTAAATAAAATACAAAATTTAAAATTGATCTAAAAATGAAACCATTTTCCTATCTAGATGGTGAGCCAATTGTCCAACCTTTTGGACCAAATGGATCAACTCATGATGTCATAATTAAATAATATATATTTAAAAAGTAGAAACATAAAAAGTACAAAAGAACTATAGAAATTTTGTAGAAAACATTTGAGCAAATCTCTAATATTATATATTCATCATATTAAACAAAAATAAGTGTGAAAAAATAAGATTTGTTTTTACTATAATGAAAATGGAATACAATAAACTTGACCCAAGAGCAAACCAATTTTTCTATCCATTCAAGTGGTGGGGCAATGGTTCAACCTTCTAGGTCAAATGGATATACCATGATGTCATAATTAAATAATAAAAATTAAAAAAGAAATACAATACATCGTAAAATTAGAAATAAAATTTATTTTTAAGTATTCATCATATTAAGAGTATAAATGTAATAAATAAAAAATATTTTTGTTAATGATGGAAACAAAATACAAAAATCAAGGAAAAAAGAGAGTTAATGTCTAACTTGTGACCCCACTAACTAGGTCAAACTGTTCAATGGTTTAAATAGTTAGGTCCCATATTGTTGATTGAAGTAAATGGTTTTTTGAAAGCAAGCAATTTGATGATAAATGAATCCAAAATACTGATCTAATGGGTCAACTGGTTGACTAGTTAATTTGACCATGAGATAGAAAACACTAATAGTATTTTTTATGGATAGATAGAAAACACTAATAAAAGACCAATGTTCTAAAAATCAACAAAACCACATTCACTCATAGTCAAAAAGTGAAGTTGTGATGTCATAAACAAATAATAAAAATAAAAATATAGAAAACATTATAAATTTACAAAAAAAAGTTAAAGCATGCCTTGAATATTATATATTCATCATACTAAACAAAAATACTTCTAAAAATATGAGAATTATTATGATTAATGATGGAAATAGCTAAAATACAAAAAAGAATAAAGAAAACAAATGTCACATCCATAGCCCGTTGACCTAGTCAAATAGGTCATATGTTTCACCAATACACACCATTCTTTGAATACTTATCTCTATTACATGAGTTCTGATAAAAACATTAAAATTATTATTACTATTGTTGTTTTTTTGTTATTGTGTTTTATTATAATACTGTTGGTTTTGTTATTGTAGAGAACACTGATGTGGGGGGCCCCACGGCGTGGTCCCCACTGTGTTCGTATGACAGCACATGTAACCTTTGTTAGTTATGTCAGTGTTAGTTGGTAGTTATCTTAGACAGCTTGTTATTTCAGTTTATTATTAGTTTTATTTGCCATGTAAGCATTAAGGGAAATTCTGCCCTTTCCTACATTTAGTGAACATAACCTATAAATATTAAGAGAG